ATATAAACGTGCCGTTATTCATCAGTTCACAATTAAATACAGATTAAAGTAGAATAAATCGACTTTTACTGCTCTAACTTACGACAAAAGGTCTACTTTGACATTCATTATTTCGCGAGACCTGAGCTTTTACAGAGTGATACACTGGTTGAGTTATCATTATATTTGATTGAATAGAAATTTTGAATAGCGGAAGCTTTACCTTTCGCAGCGTAGTATTACGAGAAAAACAGTCCGGCTACAGCGAACGCTCACAAGTCTTTCGATCTTTGAAGGAGCTGCAACAATGGCGTATCTCTAAACGAGAGAGTATTTCACGCAATATACAGCAGGTCCAATATTCCCTTGTTACAGTATCAATCAAAGCAATTTATTCTTCGTGTCTGCATAGAAAAGTCTGTGGAGGCGAGGTATAGCGAAAACGTAAGGGGTATTTCTGCTTAAGTCAGTGGTCGCCGACAATGCACCAACTGTGTAGATATAATACGTACACCTTCGTCCCGTATTATATCTACAGAGTTCGTATTAAAATACAACGAAGATATACAACAAATTTCAGTCGACAGGAACAAAGACCTTGTGAATTTTTTTCCATGAGAATCATTACGCAGACGCAGCCTCAACGCGTCAATGTAGCCTCTACGCCAAGCAACGGCTAGTGGACTGGGGTATCGTAACGTTATTTACTGTTGACTTACCGCATGCTACGTTCACTTGCTATTCCCGGGTTGCGTTTTAGCTCTAATCATGGCCAGTATTTGTGGGTGCACCCACCTTAATTTCGCGCCTTCCGTGACTTAGGAATGAGTCAGGCGGGTTCATTACAATAATGAAGTATTTTGATGGTGCTTTTAAATTCATTACATCTCTATAGCGAGATTATGCCAATAGTCCTATTTAAAAAAAGAACAACCATTAGCTTCACGTCAGTGCTCCCTTGGTGTATAAGCATCTTCATGCAAAAACTCATAGGTTTCCTTTTAACGGGCCTGCTTGCATTCTTATACGCTGCATAACCAACACCGGTCTAGCGCAGAAGTAGTACAATAGTAGTATGTAGATGTAGGAGTTCTTCTCTTTGCATTTGCAGCCTTCTTCTGGGGACCACTTGATCAACGGCGACTAGTTTAGTAAAATAGGCCATTGTTATTATCTACTATGGAAACTGCCGAAAATAACGCTGTACAAGAGCGTACAACAGATATTTATGTACGGCTATAGTGTTGGCGTCAGTGTTGGTTGGGCCTGTGACGGGGCCTGCGAGTCAAGAGCAGACGCGTCAGGAACACCTGTTGCCATTTTCTGCGCCAACTATCAGGCCTATCTGTCGTCGATGGCCGCACGCTTTCAACTCGTCGTGCATTAAGGCGATCGTTTGAAGTTCCGTGGAGTCATCTGTGAATCTATGAGGATGATTTGTACATGTATACACACCTGTGGTTTAGTGGAGAGCAACGCTTCCAAGCCAATGACAGAATAAGCACGATAAATTATTAATTGACATCAACGGTTAATTTGGCCACTTACTGATGCACGTGTGCATGAAGATGTATCGATGATGATAACATTTTTTGGTATGTCTTGAAATTATTGTGCTATATAGTCAAGAGGTAAAAGTCTCAATCATATCAGTAGGGTCTGAGTTACGAAGGCTTCCGTAAATAACTTGATTTTTGAGAAAAAGTGTAATCAAAATTCAAAAGAAAAATTGTTTCTGGTAGTCTTTTTTTCCGATGGCGACATGATCGATGTAGCGTCTGTCACCGGCTTAAAATAAATAGTACACCTATTACGGAATGCAGCCATCTAAATGCTCACATCATTTATACCCTTATATCTCGTCTTCATAATTATGCTAGTCCGTTACAAACCTTTCGTAAGGGCAGATCGCTCGTGGCCGTCACAATGGCTCTATTTCAAAGTTAGATTCGTCCATGTAGAAATATACCGGGTACGCTCATGCCCAGAATAGCTTTTAAAGCAACACCATTACTGCTTTGTGCCACTGTAGATTAAATTCCGTCTGCTAATGGTATTCAGATAAGGACAAGACATTCTAAATAATCGCTTCGTATCAATACTCGCATTGACCGTCTGTATAGAAACGGTAACAGCTTTATCATTATTATTCTATCTATCGGTAAATAAATGGATTCAAGTCGGAAGGTACAGACATGTAAACGCTATCTAATCAAGTGTCACTATGAGAGTGTAGAACTTTTCATGGATGACGACAAAAGTGTTGACATAAATACTTACGTTTTTATACTCAGACCCACTATTGCACTACCGAATTAATTCTAGTAAAGAAAAAAAAAACGTACGAACGCACCATGTGTCGCCGTTCTTCATTTCGGTTGTCCTTCAGTAGCTTGCAAATATTAGGCAGTCTCAAAACAATGCACGTAGAAAAATACAGAATTAAAAACCTCAATGCCCATCAATAGATGAGAGATATTTTTCCACTAATTATTGTTTTAAATTTTCTATGTGAAATATTACTTTGCCGCTATATATAAAAGGCCGCTTTCGCCACGAAGGCTACGTCTGGTATTGAATTTAGAGCAGTTTTCGTAATAAATCTTTAGGTTTACTAGATAAACACGTTTCCACTGTTCCATCAAAAGGACTTTTGTACCTTTTTCATTAAGTTAGCCACTTGAGCGATAGACGATTTCATTTGCGAGACATTAATTATTTTATACGGTAAAGAAAAAGCTCTTTTTAAACACTGAACAATATACGTTCCTGGCTCATGTACGAAGCAAACTGACCGTAGATTTCCATTATTTCACCACAGTATGAATACGATTTGGACGTGTGTTACTGTTATTGGATTTTATTGCTTCTAACGTTCTGCTAAATGGTAGTGGTTAAATATCTCGCTGAAAAATAGTCACCGATTACACACTATGGATCTTTATTATTATTTATTATGTGTAATCGTTATATATAACAAGGTCACGTGGAATCGGTTGCCAGAACAGGTCCAGGCTTCCAGGTCCATTCCGTTGTGGACACCTATGGTAGAAACTCGGGCCCAAACTGTGCGAATCGCGGCAACAAAGAGTCTCTAGTTGTTCTTTTTTTTTTTTTTTTTTATTTAATAGGCGTATGCACATCCATAAAGTTTCTTATTAGCTGCGGCATTTGCAAAATTTTACAGAAAGTAACTTTTCCGGGGTAGGTTTTCAGGTGTCTTCTAATCAATCGTCTCTGTTTATAATAAGACCCTCCGGTTTGACCTAGCTCTCGTAACATACACTGTATTATTTCAAACGGCAGTTACGTAATCATTAGATTCAGATGATAGACAGATTAATTAAATTTCATTCATTCACTTTTGTTTGTAGTAGTAGTAATGAAACACTTTATAAATACAAGTTTGCCCGACCACCTAAGGATAGCGCAAGGGGGACCACGAGCGGCATTATTTCTTACACGATTCCTCGTGCAACTGGAGCGCCGATATTTAACATCACGTTCGTAGAAGCCTGTTTTCCTTTTTTGCAAGACCTATGGTCTGAACGAATGGCACGAACTGATTTGTTCCTTTTTTT